TAGGCCCGCCCGGAGGAGGCGATGTGGGCGGACACGGCGGCAGCACCCCGGACAGAGGCACCTGTACCCCTCCGAGGGCGGACGCAGTAGAGCTAGAGAAGCTCCTCGCGGGGGTAAAAACCAAAAAGGGGGGAGGGGAAGCAGTAGAAAAGGAGCTTCTAGAAACTCCCTTCTGAGACAGCAGCTGGGTGGTTTAAGAAACCCGAACAACGCCTGGAAAAATGGTGCGTGGACGCGTCTTCCGAGCGCTAACGCCACCAAAGCGCGAAGTGGCAGCGGCGGTGCGGCGAGTTTCAGCCGGCGCTCTCGGATTCCTTAACCCCGCGCAGGACACACGCCAGGTGGTGGCTTCCAGGCGCGGTTAGAAAAATAATCTCAGAGGTTTTCAGGTTCGGAGTTTCTTTGCCTCCCCTCCGGCTTCCTAGGGCTTCCTATGTAAAAACCGAGAAATCACGGCTCGGTAGCTCCCGAAGCACCATCTCTTGTACAACGGCCCCTTCCTCGTTCCTGTATTCTCTTGCTCATCTTCTGTCTCCCATTATTAGCTGCTTGTGATACGAGACACTGCAGATTTCGGGGACCCAGCAGTGGCAGCCACCAGGGGAAAACAGGCTATTTGCCTCATGTCGCTATTCCCCGAGTCCCCGGAACAGCCAGGATTCCCCAGGGGTCAGGTGAACAACGGAGAGGGGGACAACGCGGGTAGCACACTGCATGCACACAAAACGCACCCCCCGCATGGGCATACACGCATGTGCGTGGGCATGAAAGTAGCTATGGAACTGCAGATATGTACAGAGCCCGCTTCGTGATACCATGTGGGTCCCTGCCCTGCATGACAAGTTTAAGCAGCAGACTTGGGGTCGGGGGGCTCCCCACAGCCTAACACTGCCCCTATCCTCCACTTCAGAGAGCAGGTAAGGAAGCATGTATATAAGACAAGAGGATGGAAATATTCCTAGAGTCCTGCCCTTCTTAAAACGTGAGAATCACGGAACAGGTTTCTGGAATGTTCATTTTAATAGGTTGTAGCTTGATGATTTTTAGAGATGGGCCTTTGTCGCCAGGAAAAGGCAACATCGTTAGACTAAAATGGAAGTTTAAATTTGGCAAATGATCAGTATTTGGGGGTTGGGATATTAATGGCAGTGGCATTTCCTCAGTGTAAAACACTTTACCCTCCACATCAGCACAAACATTTAATATCTAATTAGTTAGTGTTTACAGGATAGATGACACCAAAGGACATAAGTAATAAGTAATTTGGGGCAGTAGGGGTAAACTGTTCTTAAATGGACAAGAGTGGCTTACCATATTATGGCAATATTAAACTGTATGCATGGTATGACTACTACAAAGGTACATGGTTTAATGCTCATTCAGAAAATCGTTCTAAGGCTATAAGAGTTTTTAATTATTTTTCCACTTCTAAATAGGATTCTCCCAAACCTTTCTATGTAATAGAGTTTATAGGAGAAAGATGTTCATTTCTATGTATTTCTTAAGGATACCTTTGGATTACAAAGAGTCTAATGTAGGTGATTTATTCAATGTAACGAAAACATGCATTATTTTTTAAATTAAAATGTATCGTAATGCATTATTAATGTGTACTGAGTGCCTAGTACTGTGCATGTAACAAAGCAAGATCCTTGTCTGTCCTGTTCACCACTCTGTCCCCAGTGGGAGCACTGTACGGCACATTGTAGGCATTCAGTAAGGATCTGTTGAATACATCAATGAACATACTCGTCTAAGAATAACAGGGGAGTGTTCTCACATATAAAATTGGTGTCAAGAGTTAGGGAATCACAATCTTTATGTCCCCAGATAAACATACTCAGCATACTTACTTACATGGCACTCTGACGTTGAAAGTGAAAGCAAGTGACTCTGGTACTGCCTCAGTTCACATCCCAGCTCTGCCACCTACCAGCTCTGCAAAACTGGACAAGATGCTTGACCTCTTTTTGTTTTAGTTTCATCACTAGTAAAATTGGGATAATACGAGTACCTACTTCAAAGGTTGATATGAGGGTTAATCATGCTCGTTTAATTATGTCTGCACATAATAAACATTTTTTGTGTGTTTAAATTCTACAAAATTCAACTTCTAGACATAAATATATATAGCCTAACTCAGGTCATTCTAGCATCCATCATCAATCACTTTCTTCTTGTTTTATTGCTTACAAAATGATGCTGGATGTATCCATATTTCTGTAGGTATATACATTTTTCTGTAGTTTTATGCACATTCTGTCTTCTCTTTCAGATGCTATCCATCACAGGAATAAGATATTATTTTACTTCAGAATTCTCAATATCTCCATGATTTGTTTGTATTAGATGGTCAAACAGTGTTGTTGACTGATCCATGATTGACCAAAGATCCATTGCTGAAATGGAAAGTTAATACTGGTTCTTAGCTCATGTTATAACAACACCAACAGTAAATTAAACTTCTGCGAATATTTGAGCAGACTGGTTATTCAGACGAATGGTTGGAGGTGAATCAAAGAGCATGGACTATGTGCCTGTGGGCTGGTTACTTTATCTTCCTGAGCCTGAGCTACTATGGGGACGAAATGAACTAATTTTTCTTATCTATAGGCTTATTTTGACAATTAAGTGAGAATATTTAAAGTACCTGGCATAAAAAAAGGTATTTAATAGTGTGTTTCTTCGTTTTATTTTCTTATAAATCATTTAAACTAATTCTTTTTAAAAATACACATTTTCAACTTCAAAGAATCCTTTGGTATCCTGCCTCAATCTTTAGTTTAACTTTCTGTTTTTAGATTAAAAACGTCACTACTTATATTTAATCCTTTAGAAACCTGCCAAAATTCTTAATTTAATTTAATTTTTAGGTATATCATTGTGCTTCCGAATGTATTATAGCAGTCAGTCTTTCTTGACAAAACACTGTCCTATCTTTCAAACTCCCCATCTCAGCTCCAACCAAGGTAGATAATCTAGGTTAAAAATGTGGCACTTATAACTCTTTCAGTAATTTGTATTATATTTATATGTGCATGGCTTAACGACTACTCCATCCCACTATGTTTCTCCACCCATAAAACATGCACCATGATAAATAGTGAGTCCAATCTTGGGGGAATTATTGATTAATTCCAATGTCTACCATCTCCCCACCCCTATATTTATGTATAAGAACTAGTAAGATTCCAGAGCAGCCTGGTCTATATGGTTTATAACTTTTCTTCCACAGACAGACAAGGTACAAAAAGTCAAGGTGGAGGGGACCTTGGTAGGAAGTGCGAAGACCAATTGAGCAGTCCTTAGGAAGCCAAGCATTGAATATTTGTGAATGGCTAGATAAATGAATACATTTTTCTTCCTTAACTTACAACACCTAAGGAGCCTGTGCGAAGGAAACAGGAGCTGTACCTGGCTCCTCAAGATTATTACCTATTGAGTTGTACATATGCAAATATGGAGAGAGCCAGACTGAAATTTTCTGCCAAGACCCATTAGTTTATAGACAGGATGTTTTTGGCAAAGATGCCTGAGCATTTGCAACTACCGAAGAAGATACAGAATTGTAAACATTGGTTTCCATGTGTTTCGGTAACTCATGTGTTTCAGGTAAACCCAGGCATTTTCCTGAAATTTTCTCATTCCATGTGCAAAAACAGAAAAATAATATTATTTTCAATGTATAGCTGAGAAGGTGGGGAAGGAGGCTTCAGAAGGCTTTACGTAAGACAAACTAGGGAAGCCTCTCCAACAGAATAGGATCCTCCTTTTAAAAACAACAGCAAGCTATATTCATAATGCTAAACCTGAGGTAGAGATGTTTATAGAGATTCACGAGTGTGAAAAGTTACATGACTTTGTACTAACGAGAAACTTTAAATATTAACATATAGATTGGTAGAAGATCTCATGGAAATAGATTTGGAAAGAGATTTTTTTAAGGCCAGGAAATTGCTTATTCAGAATAAGTGAGGACATCTGGTAATTCATTCCAATAATTATTGAACTATATAAGACGATATCTTAACACATCTTTATTGAATTGGATCTAGAGAATGAACAAATATACTAGTTTACTAGCTCCCAAACAATTTGACATAGAGATGACTCCTGAGACTTGAATGAGAGATAAGACATAGGACTGGTTAACTCAAGAAATGTCATGTTTAAACACATTCATATAAATTCAAAGATAACGGCATCCTCAAAAACAAACTAAAGAGAGCACAGAACGTTTGGGATTACACCTTGACTTATTGCTGACGTCATAGCGTACTGCAACCTCACAGAATGATCTTCAGTGCTTGATTTAGGAGGTAAATCAAGAAAACAGGAAGAAAAACAGCTAGTATAGTAATTTGTACGTCTGTCTTTGAGGTTCAGCTGTAATAAGATATTTATCTCAAAGGCCAGATGCTTCTGACCTGGACAAGTGGTACTTATCTTCAACCAGAACCACTAAGACGTCTTTAAAGTGCCATACTCTGTGACTATATTATAAATTATTCTATTCTACATTTCTAGTATTTTAAGTTTTCAAACTTTTTAAAAGAGTTATCATAAACAAAGCACATATTTTATTAGAGAACCTAGTTATAGTTCACTGAAGGTACAGGCATGAAATTGCTAGACTAAGTAAAAGAGCCAAAGTTTATAAAA